AAATTAAAAAAAAAAAAACAAAGTAAAGGCAGGTTTGAGTTCATAGGAGACCGTCTCAGCTCAGTCCTTGGTGTCCAGTTGGCAGGCTGAGAATTGTGCCCTGTGCCATGCACTGTCCTCGAGGAATCTGTCGCTCCCACAGTCCTGCGCAGGCCTGGCTGTCACCGTGGGCGCAGGCTGAGGGGTTGCTCGCCCTGGGGAAGAGGAGTTGGAGGGGGGTTGAGACACGCCTTCCGCTGCTCAGGGCGGTTACAGGGACCCTGGAGCTGGACTCCTCTGGAGGAGCGCAGGGGAAGGGCAAGAGGCCGCAGACATAGGCTGCAGCAAGGAAACTTGCTGCTAAATCGAAGAAGACAGATTTTCCCCCGTCAGAGCTGCTCGTCTTTGCACAGTATCCAGGTCTCCATCCTTGGAGATCTTCAAAACTCAGGTGGGCAAGGCTCAGAGCAACCTGAGCTGGCCTGGCAGTCTACCCTGCTGTGAGAGGTGGGAGGTCAGGAGTACAGTGGCTTCCTCAGTGCTGTGGATCATTCTCCACCCTGGTTCCTGGGATCTGTTGGGATCTTGCAGCCAGCCTACACCATCATCTGAAGCATCTGAGCCTCGAACGCTTGATGTACCGCCAGCAAGTAGCACGTGTGTTGAGTTACTGTAGGGATGGAAGGTACCAGCCTGCACAGACCCATGCTGTATGTGGAACAGCATCTGCTACATGAGAACAACCTGGGGGATGTCCTCAGAGCAGACACGGGGCTCTACTGGGATTCTCCAACACTTTCCACAGCAGAGCATGCAATGAGTAATGAGACCATCCTCAGAACAGGAGCACGAGTGGCTGGTGGAGCAAGGGCGAGGGGGCAAGGGGGTAGCCCAGGGATGTGATTGCTTCTTCTGAGGTGTCCCAGGCTCTTGCTGGGTGCTGCGGGAGGACAAGTAAAGGCACGGGAGACCCACAAAAACCTCTCTGCCCCACAGGTTGGGGCGGGTGGAGCTGCACGGATGATACCAAGGCCCAGTCTGTCGGCGCGCAGAACCTGGCCACCCTCCTGCTCACCCTGAGCAACCTCATGTTCCTGCCGGCAATAGCGGTTGCTGTGTATCGCTACTACCTGGTGGAGGCCTCTGTCTACACCTACACCATGTTCTTCTCCACGGTAGGGCTTGCCCTTTGTCG